ATGAACCTAGAGACAAGCTGAGAGAAATCATTTGATTGTTCTTTCTTCACCTGGTGCTCTGCAACTCTTCTCTCCAGTTCAGTTATTGCCATATTCAGTATAAAAACCACATTGGAAACTTGTGCAAGTGGTAGACAGTACAACTGGACAAATACACAGGACAGTACGTTTAAAAAACTAACAATATAAATAAAGAAGAAAAACAGAGACAGTAAGGCCACATGAGAAACATACTGTTCCTCTGCTTGTCCTCGAGCGTCTGGTGGGGTTAATTCTTTAATCAGCTCCTCAGCTACATTGAAACACTCCTCAAAGCGTCCCTCCTGTATCTTGATCTGGACTTTATTACTCAACTGGTCTGTTGCTGATTTCCTCAGCAAGTCCTTCAGGACTTTCCCCTCCTCCTCCAGAATCAGTTTGTCATAGACAAACTTTCTGTTGCAGCATTTACTTCGCACTAACAATTTAAACAGGAATCCCACACAGATGATCCCCAGGAGCAAGCCGCCAGCAATGTCCTGAAAAAGACAAGTATTATTAAGATATACAGATATATCTGAAAGTGTTTTGTTTATCCACAGAGTATCTCAGACTGTGAACGTAGAGTTTAAAAAGTGAAGCCAGTCACTGCATTGAATTCTTATATCAACTTTAAGTGTAATAATGATCAAGTAAACCAGAAGAAAACTCCCTGACCTGTTGTCTAAACTCACCCTGGATTTGTTTCTTCAGATCTGAGATCATCGCCCTCTCATCCTTGGTGATGTTTTCTTTAGCTTTACAGGCTAACACAACCTGAGCAACAGAGCCATTGTTTCGACAGCACACATACCAGTCCTCCATCGACCAGCACGAACGCCACCCACAGCAGACCCACAAAGACAGCTTCCACCACCTTAGGGGAGGCAAAGATCAGGAACTTCTTGCTGCAGCCCTCGCTGCAACATAATGTGTACCTGCACACTTTCAGGAACCTCCGTTGGTCCACAGAGTCAGGAAGAAGACGATAAAGAAAGGCAGGGCCATGTAGGAGTTGCAGTCCAACACCTGTGGTTTACAGGTGCAGGCGAAGTCTCTGTTGAGCAGGATGGTGTACGTGAACATGAGGATGATGGAGACATAGGTGCTGAGATGATTAGAGGCCAGTTTGTTCAGAATGTCCTTCATGTTTGAAAACTAGCTGAGCTCTGAAGCTGCAGCTTCTGCCAGCTGAAGATATAACAACCCCAACCACAAAGGAAGAACGTTCTGTTTACATCGTCACGTGAAACTGAAAGCATCGGTGTTTGTGTCTTCATCTCAGGTCGTTGATTTATGAGAAACAAGCTCATAACAGGAAGAGCGCGGTAACATAAACACACAAAACATACTCCATACATCACCGCTGAGGAAACAGAATTATTGTTTAAATTCTTTTTGTTAGTCATTCCTCTCAAAGGATCAATAAGTGAGATGTTCAGTACTGTACTGATCAGACATAAAGGAAACATGACAGGGACGGATCTAGAAGGGTGACAAATGCCAAGACGTCGGGCTGCAGGACGATCCGTTTGTCACTCCTCTCTTTACCTCCTCACCATAAGTCTGCCATACATTGAAGCAAGACCACATAGGAGCTCGCAGGCGTATAGCGTTTCTGAGTATCAGCGCTTCTGAGTATCTGCTCGGTTCACGGTCTTCGAGCTGAAACCACATATGAACTTGGTATTACCTATGTCATGAACTTAGCATGACCTGTGTATGCATCACGTTTTTGCAAACGTGCATTGTTGAGGTGTTACAGGATCTTGAAAAAGAGAGACTTTTTGGCTATAAAAACCCTGGAGAAAATCTGATCGGGGTTCCTTTTTGCTTTGCAAAACGAATCCTTTTGAAATTATTTTTTGATTGAAATCATTCATAACTGGAAGTTCCCCTTAAGGACCCCGTGTACCTCGGAAGGTAAGTTTTGAGCAGTCACACACGGCCCACTTGTCTTACTGATTTATATTACAAACTTCATACACACCTAACATCCTAGCGGGGGAGTTCACAGTTATTCCCTCTCTAGGGGGTAGTCTAGAGTCCTGTACCAGGGGTTATCCTTGAATCTAATTATTCTAGAAATGAATGTTAGGCAGATAATCCTGGGGCTGTGATTATAACTTGTTCATCTGTACCTCCTAAGGGTGTTAGAGGAGTAATTTTACATAGCTCCTTCCACTAGGAAAGAGTAGACTAGCAGGTTGGTAAGGAGTGAGCTCTCATTTAGTTCTAGGAAAGAGTAGTCTAGTTAACTAATGTGTGGTGAGCTTCCGTTAGCTATAGTGAAGTTATTCATCCCTTTTTGCATGTCCAGGACATGCTACATGACTTTCCGATGAAGAAGTTTAAAATCTGTGTCCATTGTTGCTTCCAGTGATGGATCGTTCCGTGTTTATAGCGCCCTGTCTTCACCACAACTGCACAGAATCTGCTTTTCTTTCATATGTAAAGTCTTGAACAAAGACATCAAACATGGTGTTGGAGCTACAGTAACGTTTAATAAAGATTTAAATATCAGTCAGATATATTCAGCCTGTTAGAATAAACACAAACAGCTTGTAGAAAAGAGCACAAATAAATAAATGAACACATGTTTATAACATCAGCAGAGTCACTGAAGGACTGAAATTATTAATCAGTCAGTTGCTCTTTTAAAAACAGGAGGCGTGTTCCTGCAGAAGCGCAGGGTCTACCACGCTGCTCTGAAGGGGTAGGTCCAGTGAAAAGTCAGTGGGCGGAGCCTGCAGGCGCTGGCGAGGGAGTCGTCCGCACCTCTGAGGGATGGGCAGTTCAGAGTGGTGAGCAGGAAGAGGAGAGGAGAAGAAGTATGGATGGAGGAGAGCCTGCAGGGGGCAAGGGAGTGCCAATCAATACTCCAATAATCAATCAATAAATCAATCAATCAATAAATCAATTCATTAATCTGATGCTTGTGTTAATAAAAACATTAATAGGGATATAAAATTTAAGTTTTTTCTCCCCTGATTCCAATCCAAAGCATAGTTGTTCTTGTCATTGTTGTCTTAAAAGTGCGGTTCAAACCTGAGCAGCAGAGGTGAAGTTATCCTCATTACAAACTATCAAAACAAGAATCCTACATTTCTCATGATGCAATTAAATAATGGATCCTGGGCATTACCAGCAGAGGCCTGTAGGGGTTCAGAAAAGAGCGCTTAACAAATGTAAGTCTTGTGTTTTGTGGCTCTTTGTCAATAAAACTATGAAACAGAATAAAAAAGAGGGGACCTAAGATTGAACCCTGAGGGACTCCAGTATCGCCTCTTACATGCCGGAAGTCCAATTCCCATTTCCTACCTGTCTGGCTGAGCAGCGCTGTTTGGAGGGATAAACCAGGAACTTGTAGAGCAGGTCGACAGCCTGAGGGGACGTGTCGGGGACGATCTCCTCCAATGGGATCGCAGGATTCTCCTTAAAGGTGATTTTATTGTAATCTGGTAGCGTGACAATCTCCTGGAGGGAAACACGAAGAAGATTATTTTACAAGGCCAGGTGTGTGTGTGGTGTGTGTGTGTGTGTGTGTGTGTGTGTGTGTGTGTGTGTGTGTGTGTGTGTGAGCTTGTGTATTACAGGCCAGCTCTCCTGTGTCGGGGTCCCCAGCACTCTCAGGACACAACAGAGTTGTTCGATGTCATTTTCTCCAGGAAACAGAGGAGACGAGTTCAGCAGCTCCCAAAAATACAGCCCACTGCCCTGAAACACACACACACACACACACACACACACACACACACACACACACACACACACACACCACACACACACACACACACACACACACACACACACCACACACACACACCACACACACACACCACACACACACACACACACACACACACACACACACACACACACACACACACACACACACAGATTTCAGACTGCAGCTTCCCCCTGCAGCTCAGTTGTGGGCAGTGCACTCCACTATGAGGCTGTCAAAATGTCAACATTTTTTAACGATACAATCTGTTATTCTAATAAAAAAACTTCAGATCTTCAGTCAATTAGCTAAAATCATCTTTCTAATGATAGTATCAGGATCTCTGTCAGCTGTGTCTGTCAGGCATTAATCCACAATCTGCTCCCCTCTGGGTTTTCTTTCAAACATTACATTCTGTAGAAGAAGAACCCGCGCTCGTCGGTTAGAGCGTCACATTCAACAACAACTTCTTTAGTTTAAACAACAAAACTGGTTTAAACACGTTGGTGACACAGATAACATCTCTGTAGCGTGCAGCAGTAAGAAGTCTTATTCTCACCACAGGTCGACTCCTTCGTCGTACTTTCTGGCTCCGTACAACAACTCTGGAGCTCTGTACCACCTGAACACACACACACACACACACACACACACACACACACACACACACACACTAAGTAAGTCTGTCTGTCTCCAATCATTGGCTTTAGTTGCACTATCATAATTATGTTTAAAAGTAAGAGCAGAAACCTGTGTGTGTGTGTGTGTGTGTGTGTGTGTGTGTGTGTGTGTGTGGTACCTTGTGGCCACCTGGTGGCTGTACAGTCTGTCTCCCCGCTCACTGAACAATCGAGCTAAACCAAAGTCAGCGATTTTAAGATGACCTGAAGAGCTGATCAGGAGGTTAGCTGGCTTCAGGTCCTACACACACACACACACACACACACACACACACACACACACACACACACACACACACACACACACACACACACACCACACACACACACACACACACACACACACACACACACACACACACACACACACACACACACACACCACACACACACACACACACCACACACACACACACACACACACACACCTTCATTGATCTTACAACTTAATTGTCCTGAATAGCAACAGAATTGTCACAATACCCACAATGCATCTTGTCATCTTGTACAGATGCAGAGGTGATCGCCCCACAGAGAGAACGAGGGAGAGGCTCTAAACTGACCCGGTGCATGATGTTGTTGTGGTGCAGGAAGGCACGCCCTTCAGCAGCATCATCATGTAACCTTTGACCTGAGCCGGGGTTAAAGGTCGCTCAGAGTTCCTGATGACCTCAGAGAGGTCAGAGAGCATGAAGTCAAACACCAGGACGAAACCCGTACCGTGAGGGAAGACGTCCTTCAGCTTCACCACCTGAGGGGGAGAGAGAGAGGAGCACTCTATCAGCTTGATCTGGATCAAGTGCAGCTCTTTTTTTATTTACTGTATCACCTGCTGAAGAGAACACCTGCACAGTTGTTCCTGGTACACACAAACATATGCGAGCCAGCTTGGAGAGTTTTATGATTTTAGTGCACTGTGTCTCTCCATCAAGCAAAGGCAAAACTTACACTGAGAGCGCCCTCTGCTGGATCAAACCGCTGACTACTTCAGACGGCCTGATGAGCTGATAGACTGAACATTTTTAACTGAAACGGCTCACTACAATTCCAATGTGAACTTTCAATGAATGTTGGAATTCAGATTAAGAACTGACAGCCCTAGTGACGTCACCCACTGAGGAGTGTGTCACTGAGCAGCAGCCACGGAATGAACGGGGCATTCTATAATACATCCATGCCTCTGACACGTACATGCTGGTTGTCCTCGATCTCCTGCAGGGCCTTGATCTCCCTAAGAGCCTGGTTTGGGATGCCGTCCTCCAGCCTCCTCAGAGCCACTTTCTTCAGAGCGACCGTCTCTCCTGTCTGACGGGAAACAGCCAGCCAACATTTCATTTATCAAATAGTGTTGAGCCAAATGAGGTGTTTGTTTGTGTGATGCTATTTTCCTTGTGGTTGTGTGTGTTGCCCTCTACTGGGCACTATGTGTAGCCTGGGCGAGGCTGTGGTTAAAGCAAGGCTCCAGTGAGGTGGACAGGTGACTGAATGGAGGCAACCGTGTCAGCCTGTCGGAGTTAAACGCATCCAACGCGGATTTGTTTGTTTTATTTATAGACAGTGGTTCGTCATATTTTCCTTTATTGATAAGAAGTGTTTAAAAAGAAATGGATTGAAATATCCAAATCAGATCCTCAATGGACTGTGTTCATTTCCTCGAGCTAAGCGTCCGAAAGCTTCCACATTCATCCCTCAAGTGACTTTCTAAACTATATTGGGTTTGTTAAAATTGGTCACTACAAATAGGGAAGATTGTTTTTGTAAAGAATCAACATTGAAGAAGATTTTGGGAAACTGAGATGTAATATTTGATATTTTGTATTATTATTTGTGGAAATCCCCGGCAGACAATAAAAGATAAACCAGTAGTTCGTGTTGTTGAGCAGCAGCTTTACCTCGATGTGTTTGGCCTTAAACACGATGCCGTGAGCTCCTTCTCCGATCCGACCCAGGATGCTGTACTGCTCCATGTTCAGGCTGTGAGACACGATGTGAGAGACACAGAGAGGACTGAGGTCTGACTTACTATCATCATTTTGAATTATTTAATGAATACATAAAGTGTTGGCTCTTTCACTGTAGGTTATATAAGCACTTTGTGTTCACACAGGTTGTGTAAATGATACGTTTTGTTTTTCATCTAATGAGAAGAATGATCCGTAAATACCTCAATAACTAAACTCTTATTAATCTTTCTTTAATCAACAGGGAAGTGGGTCGTTCCAGTTGCTCTTACAGTATAAGCAGCAGAAATATGGTAATAAAAATATAAATATTAATAAAATAAGGAAGATAATACAATAATAATAAGTATATACTTGAGATCGGCGTAGATTACAACCTCAAAAACGCTCCATAATTAAGAAGAATAAACTTTAGAAAAAGGCTTTCCGTGTTAGGAGCTAACAGCTAGCTAACTGTTTGCTAACGTTGCCATGGTAACCTACCAGCGTCTAATTCAACATGTCGACATTTCCCGCTTTAAAACCCGCTCCAGGTGTACGTGACGGACCACGTTAGTCCGACATAAACTACAAACACTGAGAGTTTCGTCTTTTAAACAACACTTACTCGTTCGGCTTTGAATAAACGGGGTTTAAGCTAGCTAAAGGGACGCCAGTGGTCCGCCATGTTTGTTTACAGTGACGTCACGAGACTGGTCCAACTCCAGAACCGAGGCAGATAGAAGAGACTCACCTGTCAGCACATCAGCTTATAAAAGATATAAATGTAACTTATACACGTATGTTTTATTCCTTCTAAAGGTAGGAAGCCCCTGAAGACCCAAAAGGTGAAGACACTTGTCGTTTACACGTCTATCTTTCTAACATCACTGTCGAGTTGTTTTTCCATGTACTCTAATTCTGTGATGCTTGGGTTTTATTTTGAAATCAGGAAGTGCTATCTGACATTTGAGTCTACATCCGGAACAGAGGCTGATGCATGCTAACCTCTGTGATGATATCCACGGATGTATAACGACTGTTTGTGAATCTATAATGACTCAGACACGTTAAACTTCACCTCAGTGGGACACCTCAGTGGGACACCTCAGTGGGACACCTCAGTGGGACACTCGGCGGCGGTTCATCTCTCTAAAGGCGGGAAGCTCTGATCTAAAAAACGAGGTGACGATGTCTCTGCCCGTTCATGCTAATGCTAATGCTAACGTGGACCGGAAGGTGTTGCAGTATGAAAACTTCATTAACGAAGTTCTGAAGAGAGATTTACAGTAAGAGACAAAACAGCTGCTCACTGCAGCACCTTCACATTATAAAGATACATTATAAAGATATATTATATATGTACATTATAAAGATACATTATATAAATACATTATAAAGATATATTATAATATACATTATAAATACACATTATAAAGATACATTATATATGTACATTATAAATACACATTATAAAGATATATTATATATGTACATTATAAATACACATTATAAAGATACATTATAAAGATACATTATATAAATACACATTATAAAGATACATTATATATGTACATTATAAATACACATTATAAAGATATATTATATATGTACATTATAAATACACATTATAAAGATATATTATATATGTACATTATAAATACACATTATAAAGATACATTATATATGTACATTATAAATACACATTATAAATATACATTATAAAGATACATTATATATGTACATTATAAATACACATTATAAATATACATTATAAAGATACATTATATAAATACACATTATAAATACACATTATAAAGATACATTATATATGTACATTATAGATACACATTATAAAGATATATTATAAAGATATATTATATATGTACATTATAAAGATATATTATATATGTACATTATAAAGATATATTATAAAGATATATTATATATGTACATTATAAATATATATTATATATGTACATTATAAATATATATTATATATGTACATTATAAAGATATATTATAAAGATATATTATATATGTACATTATAAAGATATATTATAAAGATATATTATATATGTACATTATAAATATATATTATATATGTACATTATAAATACACATTATAAAGATATATTATAAAGATATATTATAAAGATATATTATATATGTACATTATAAATACACATTATAATATACATTATAAAGATATACTATATATGTACATTATAAATACACATTATAAAGATATATTATATATATACATTATAAATACACATTATAAAGATATATTATATATATATTATAAATATACATTATAAATATATTATATATATACATTATAAATATACATTATAAATATATATTATAATATATCATATATATATACATTATAAATACACATTATAAAGATATATTATATATATATTATAAATATACATTATAAATATATTATATATATACATTATAAATATACATTATAAATATATATTATAATATATCATATATATATACATTATAAATATACATTATAAAGATATATTATATATGTACATTATAAATACACATTATAAAGATATATTATATATATACATTATAAATACACATTATAAAGATATATTATATATATATTATAAATATACATTATATATATACATTATATATATTATAAATATACATTATAAATATACATTATAAATATATTATATATATACATTATAAATATACATTATAAATATATATTATAATATATCATATATATATACATTATAAATATACATTATAAATATATTATATATATACATTATAAATATATATTATAAATATATATATATTAGGACAGTCAGGATGAAGCTCACCTGGAGGTTTAACTTACTGAAGGTTTATTGATGTTTTTCTTCCAGAAAGGTGTTGGAGCAGAGGGACTCAGTGTATGAGAAGATCTCTCAGTACCTGCAGCTGAAGAACACCATCCAGACTCTGCAGGTACACACACACACACACACACACACACACACACACACACACACACACACACACTCTGCAGGTCCACACACACACACACACACACACACTGCTGTTGAGATGAAATAAATTAAATGCTTGGACGGACTTCCTGCTGGAATATGATTATTTTTAATTTCAGTTACTTTATTTCACGTGTGTGTGTGTGTGTGTGTGTGTGTGTGTGTGTGTGTGTGTGTGTGTGTGTGTGTGTGTGTGTGTGTGTATAGGAGTCGGGCTCTCAGCAGCTGAAGACAGAAGTGGATCTGGGCTGTAACTTCTACGTTCAGGCTGAAGTGTAAGCTGCTGATCTGAGACTCTGATAGACACAAACTAAAGAGCTGACTCAGAGGGGATCATCAGGATCATACACACACACACACACACACACACACACACACCCACATCTTTAGGTCCTGTTGACAAGCAGGAAAGCAGCTACAGGTCAGACTTGAACCAGGGCCAACAGCTTGCAGGACGCTAGCCTCCTTGATCGATAACGCTATGTAATGAGGTTTGAATGGAGACTGACCGACCACTGACTGCTTTCTACACGTTGTTGTTGTGATCTTTTTCTCCCTGGGTTTTTTTTGTCTTTTCATTCAGCTGTAAGCTCAGAACCAGAACTAAGCTTATCATGTATTTTTTTATATTTATCGTCTGTTAAAGCTGGAAGGATAGCCTCTCTTTAACCCCGCCCCTCTTTCTTCTTCTCTCGTTCGGTCAGGGAGGACTCGTCGAGGATCTTCGTAGCGGTCGGTTACGGGTTCTTTGTGGAGATGACTCACGACGAGGCTCTCAAATTCATCGACAAGAAGACGAGTCAGCTCACAGCGTCAGTACAACATTTAAATGTCTAAAGAACAAACACGGGGTTGGACGTGCTGCAGCAGAGGCACCTTTTTCCTGTGGGTGTTTCATTCATGCAATAACTGTCAGCCTCCAGCAGAGGGTGCCGATTTATTACAACAGCAGCACAACTCACTTTTTGAGAGTTCCTGTAATGATCCATTTGAGATGAATCTGCCGTCAGATGACAAACAGTCTCTGAGTGTCTGTTGTGTGTTAGCTTCATGCTAGCTGTTTCCATTGTTTTGATTGAGAGATGCTAACTAATGCTACATGTGTGTGTTTCAGCTTCACGGAGCAGCTCACCAAAGATTCAGCAAAGATTAAAGCCAACATCCGCATGGTGCTGGAGGTCTGTTTGACACGCACGCACACACGCACACACACACACACACACACACACTCCCCTCTATCCCCTTTAAATCAATGAATGTAGGATTTCAGGGTCTGATTATTAATGATCACAAAGAAACATTTTCGTCGTATTTGTTGTTTGTGTGTTTTCAGTCAGACTCAACAGAGGAGAAACCTGATTGGCTGTTTTTCTTCTTCTCCTTTCAGGGTCTGAGGGAGCTGCAAGGTCTGACCGACCTGCCGGAGAGCAGAAGAAGAGACGTGTTCTAGACTCTCCCACGCGTTGGACGATCAGAGCATCTTTAAAATCACAGAGGTTCAATGTGGACGTTTATCTAAACATGGCTGCTGATGTTTGAAGTGACAGACGGCTGATCCATTCAGACTGAAGAAGAACATCACTGAGGGAGGAGGAGGAGGAGGAGGAGGAGGAGGAGGAGGGGGAAGAGGGAAGAGGGAGAGTTTGCTGTCCTGTGCTGCTGATTAAACTCTTCATTCAGGACTTTGTCAAACAGACTAAACCTCTCCAGGTTGAGCTGGAGGACAAACAGGATGCTGAATGAGTTGAAGGAGAGATGCAGATGTTTCCCATCGGCTTCATCTGTGTGTGTCCAGGATGTGATCACTAGAAGCAGAAGGGACACTGCTCGCCTAACCGAGCTGCAAGAAGAAGAAGAAAGTGTGTTTGATTCACATGTTTTTTATTTTATTTTGAAGGAGAAAATGTCCCCAAGTGTCTGACTCTGACTTTGCTGACAGGAAGTGTCCGTACTCCTTCTAATGACCACATAGACGGTGACCGATGCTTCCTCTTAAAGTGTGAAATCTGCAGCTGAGCTCTTTTTTCTCATGAATTCAAATCATTTGTAATCTACAAATGTTTTGTAAATCTTTGAATATATTCATTAAAAACAAACATTTACTGAAAAATATGGACTGATCAACTTTTTCTGGTTTCAGTGAAATCAAATCTGAACAACACGGTGACACTCTTAACATGTTTGGCTTTTGAAGTGGAAACCTCCGGTGTTTAAACATGAAGTCGATGCTGAAGTGTAAAATCCTGCAGTTCCAGGAGTGTCCACTAGAGGCTGGCTGCAGAAGCACAGGAAGTCACATACACACCCATTCTAAAAAGCCTGTTTTTACAGCAGAGATGAACATGTTTACAGCCTGGTTCAAAAAACCAAATAGGTGTGATTAGCTCATGTCTGGATGGACACACACTGTACGGGGGGTGAATGTTTTGATGACTCATCAGTTTTGATTTGATGAAGGATAAGAGTTATTCACAATAAGGCGTGTAGCTGACCTGATTGACAGGTGGGCGCGGTGTAACGGTTTGTCAGGAGGTTTAAAACCCGCCTCAGCTCCAGCTCTCAGCCTGTCGTTAGGTTGACTGAAAGTTAGACTGAGACAGCATTTCCAGCATGGAGACCGCCATCGATGGGACTCCAGCGCCCCCTGCAGGAACAGACGGGGGACGCCACTCAGGCTTCAAACATAATAAATACAGTCTATGGTTTTGACCTTTTATATCTACAGCGGTTAAAGGTTTAGTTATTCCAGAGTTCTGCACCTTGAACCCACAGATTTATTGAGAAGGTTTCAGGTCACACAGCTGGAAACAGGAGAGTTCAACATTAACATGACTCTGATGTTTTGTAGAATATACAATAAGTCACATGAGACGCCCTGCAGCACATTTTAACTTCAGTCACAAACACTAAACAGTTAAACACGCGTTAGACCTGATGTTATAAATATAACATCTGTAGTATTCTTTCTATACAAACTCTCCGCTGTCGGCTCGGGCTGCTCTCAGAGATGCTCAGTCAACAAAAAGAACGGAGCCGGTTACCATGGAAACAGGATGCTAAATAGAGTCGGTGCGTAAAGAAGCTGAGAGATGACTCTTGAAATAGACTCCCACACAAACGAGAGAGAGCGAGAGAGAGAGTGAGAAACTGCAGCTGAGCCCGACTGTAAACGGTCAGAGGTTTGATGCCCGGCTCAGCGGCTCCTCGGCAGAACTCTCTGTCTAAAGGGACAGAAACGAAAACACGTGTTTGGGAGCTGCATGACTTTTATATTGTAATATTTTATATTACCTATACGTTTATCACTTATGTTACCTTCTATAAAATATTACAGTTTTTTAAACTAAATTGAACCACTGTGAATTTGATCCAGAGTAAAGCGGATTCTCGTGGTGTGACTGTTCCTGACACTTTTTCTGAAGAAATTCTGAACGTGACGATAAAAAAAACATTTTTTCCAGCCAACAAAATTGTTGATTCAATGATGAACAAACAGAAGGAGCTGAGCCTCGTGTAGTGCTGACGTCACCGTCGTGTTGCTGCATGAGTACAGCCGCGTGCTGAGTCAAGCTACCGGAAGTCAGGGGTTTACTACGCGGATTCTTCTTCACAATAAAAGCGCACAGTTTCTGTCGACGCTGTCTGCTTGAGATCACATTTAAACAACATAAAAAAAACCTTTTTAGATTAAGTTAGAGAAGAACTGAGATTCTGAGGGATACTGAAGTTTACCAAACTGCCCTTTGTTTCCTTTATACCTTTATTAGAGCTCTCTGTTTCCTGACAGTTGAGGTGAGGTGAGTCTGCCTGTAAGAGGTGGAAATGTTTTATCTTCTGTGAACGAGAAAAACAACTTGTCCTTGCACTCTGAGAACAGATATCTGTGCACACAGTATTTTGACTTTTAGGGATTTCAGGGACTCTGTAAAAAAAAAAACTAATCAGAGAGAGAGAGTGGGGAGTGACATGTGATGGGGAGGCCACAGGTGGGATGTGAACCCAGGCCGCCCACTTGAGATGACAGTCTCCATACATGGGGCGCGTGCACTAACCACTGCGCCACCAGCGCCCCTGAGATAACTATGTTGATAGCACAAGAACACAATATAGTATTTTTTACTTTTTGGGGCTTCAGGGACACCGTAGAAAAACCCTTTAAAAATTAATTATCATCCAACTTTCATGCTCAAGATAATTACTTGTTTCCACCAGATAAGAACTCACGAGATAACATCTGTATTTTGGGACTTCAGGGTGTCTGATACATTTTCTACAATTCTACAATTCACTTAGCAGACTCTTTTATCCAAAGCGACGTACATCAGAGAGTAAGAACAACACAAGGAAGGATCTAGAAAAAAGGGAACAATGTCAGTAAGAGCAAACGATCAGCTTTGAGTCTGATTGGACACACAGGTGCTGACAGGAAGTGACCAGAGGCAAAGCACAACATTGAGGGCAGTTCTTGAGAGCTCTAATCAGTATAGAAACCATCTTATAAGTCGTCGTTATCAAACAAAAACCATCGTCATTACCATCATCATCATCAATAATATGGAGACCATCATCATTAAGTTAGTAGGTATTCATGAAAGAGCTGGCTCTTTAGCTTTTTCTTAAAGGTGCAAGGGACTCTGCAGATCACATGGAGTTTGGAAGTTCATTCCACCACCGGGGGGCGACAGAGGAGAAGAGTCTAGTTAGACTTAGGACCCTGTTGTGAAGGTTGGATCAGACGCCTTTCATTGGCACAGCGTAGTGGGGGGGGGGGGGGTGTAGACGTGGGTTTCAGTAGCTCAGTCTGTAGAGACTTGGGTTGGGAATCGGAGGTTCGCCGGTTCAAGTCCCGGTGCAGACCAAATATAGAAGTTGGTCTGGTAGCTGGAGGGGTGCCTGAAGGCACCAAACCCCCTCCCCACCATCACATCAAGAGCGTCCGCTGTGGGCAGCTCCATCACTCTGACATCTCTCCATTAGTGCATGTCCATAGGATCCTGTTTCTGCATGTGTGTGTTCATAACTTACAGGGATCAATAACAGTAAATCTTAAATCTAGACCTGGATCAGAGAGTTAAAGTAAAGACGAGACGTTTGTCGCTGTTCTGTAAGCGAGCAGCAGAGTTTTAAATTTAATTTGTTTTTAATTCAGTATTAATTTTCTTCCTTTTTTCTCATTAAAGGATTTTCCTGCTTTACTGTCGTTTCAGATTTTTTTCAAATATTTAAATCACATCTGATTAATCGATTTTGAAGCTGCAGGCTCGACGGACTTTTATTTTGACATTGTTCACCGGAAGCTGAGTGTGTGTTGTGTTTGTGATGCTGTGAGGAGGCGTTCGTCCAAACAGGAAGAAACTGGGAAAACACAGAAGAGAGAGATGGAGTTACCTGTAACGGACGGAGACCCCGCACAGGACACGAAACACCCGGAAGGATTTTAAAAACTACTTTCCCTCCGTGTCGGAGGAGTGTGGACGGTTTCCGGGGAACTGTGAGGATCCAGTCCGCAGTCAGCAGCGCTGTTTGGGGGCTGACGCAGGACGGCGGGGGGGCTGTCACAGGAGATAGGCTAGGCTAGCTGCTTAGCACGCTAGGCTAACAGCTTCAGCTCCCGTAAAGAAAAGTAAAAACATAGATAAACTTTTTGTGGCATTAAAACGAGCAGCAGCCTTACTGTTAAACTGTTCAGTAGATACAAACAATAACTTAAGAAAGTGTTAGCTGCTAGCGTTGGCATTGCTAGTTAGCCAGCTAGTTAGCTCCCATGAAGGCTTGTCAACACAACAACAACAACAACAAGCTGTGACAGCGGGAGAGGAAACACAACAACAACAACAAGCTGTGACAGCAGGAGAGGAAACACAACAACAACAACAAGCTGTGACAGCAGGAGAGGAAACACAACAACAACAACAACAAGCTGTGACAGCAGGAGAGGAAACACAACAACAACAACAACAAGCTGTGACAGCAGGAGAGGAAACACAACAACACACTGCAGCTACAGAATTACACCTTAATTATCATTAGCATGTTAATTAGCAGAAAGCTATTTGCTGCTTCAGGCTACAAACTTGCAGGTTTTTTTTTATTTTGAGAAGTAAACTCCGTTTCCGTTTCTCTCGGTGTGTTTCCCGGGAGGTGTTTGTTCGTTGGTTGGAGGTAACTTTGAAGCCCCGTGCTGCTCGGTGTGTTAGCATGGAGACACAGCCGCCTGGCAGCAGCTCGGAGCGGTTACATAAGAACAGCAGGTCGAGGGAGAAGCTGCTGCTGAACGTCTCCTCCTCCTCCTCCTCCTCCTCAGCCCGGCTTTGACAGCTGTAACCTGCTCCGACAACCCCCCCCCCCTCCCCGCCACACACACACACACACACACACACACACACACACACACACACACACACACACACACACACACACACACACACACACACACACACACAGAGACAGACAGACGGCACAACAACACAGCAGCATGGAGGAGGTGTGAGCCTGCAGGGAGAAACAACACAAAGCTGAAGATGGATTCAAACCCGCTCATAAACGGTGAGGTGTGTGTGTGTGTGTGTGTGTGTGTGTGTGTGTGTGTGTATTATGAGGACACTGCATGTTGAGTTTGATTTGCTTTCACACAGCGTGCAGTAACCTGCAGTAACCTGCAGTAACCTGCAGTAACCTGCAGCCTCTCAGCAGCTCCACACGCAGACAGGTGATGTAGAGTGTGTGTCTACAGGTGTGTAAAGATGTCTGCACTACAGCAAAGATCTGAACAGAGATATTTCCTTAAACAGACTTCAAAGGTAAATCCCCTCCAAATGATGACAGCCGTGAAGGTTTGTTGTGTCCATGAAATATCTTCTGATTTTTGATATAGCAACATGATGCATGTAACTCTTCCTCACAGTACTCACAACAATACCTCCATTTTTGTTTGTGTTTGTTTTCTTGCAGTACATTTTTTTTACCTTTTGTATGAAGGTGAGGTTCAGGTCTCTGAACTATATTTCTCCTTTAGTAAAACTCAGTTTAAGGTGTTTCTGTGTAGACAGAGAGTTGTTCTTGTAACGTCACGCTGTGCGGTGGACATGGCGATATTTTGCCATCTGATTACTTGACTAATCGCACCTGGTTGTACACGCTCCTCTCGTGCCCTTGATTCCACAGATGTTGATGTAACCGAAGTGAAGGAAGTTAAAAAAAACAATGGACTCACAAACATTTCCTTGTATGTAAATCCCCTCTCACACGTATCTGCAGCAGCATCTCGTCTGTCAACTTTTTGCATTTTGCTTCCTTTTCCGTTTCTTTCATTATGTTTCAGCGAGGCGTCTCTGGACTGTAGATCTGTTGTGATCTTTGGCGGTCGCTCGTGTGATCTGACTTTGAACTGAACCGGTGAAAGCAACGAGCAGACAGAGCATCCTGCAGAAAGGGTCACTTGATGTTTGTGATGATTGATGAAAGGTTTAAATAAGATGAACAGCCAGATGTTTTCACAAGAAGTCATGCTTTTTTTTTTCCTCAAGATTTATTTTTGTGCATTTATTAGAGAGATAGGACAGATAGAGTGGATAGAGTCGGAAACCAGGGAGAGAGAGAGAGTAGGGAAAGACATGCGGGAAAGAAGCCACAGGTGGGATTTGAACCTTGGCCGGCCGCTTGGAGGCGCGCACTAACCACTGAACCACCAGCTCCCCAGCAGTCATGCTTTAAACTAAAGTAAGAAACAAGAAAACACTAATCCAAGGTCGACCAACGGGTACATCACCTGATCAGCTGATAGAAACACCAGGATGTACCTTCATTCCTTCGACTTTGAATAACTTTGAATTCTTCTTTTTGGGTCTAGTCCATCATAGTGATGAATATTCGGCGTAAAATGGGCAGAAAATCCAGATTCAAGAACGCATCGGAAAACTGAGTCGAGCTGGGGATCGAACCCCAGACTTTCTTGTTGAGAGACGACAGACCCTACCGCTGAGACACAGCCACTAGTCCTGCATGGTGTTGGCGGTTCAGGATTTAAATCCTTTCTGGCAGATTTTGTCAGGTGTTCTTTGAAATTGACTCGCTGTCCACAATGAGTGAGTGAGTGAGTGAGTGAGTGA